CACATCTCCCTATCCCTGAACTGACCTGGGGAGGTTTGGGGGGGCAGCAAATTCTTCAATGAAACTGAAGAAAAAGGGAAAAAAAAAAAGAAAAAAAAGGAATAAAAAGGAAAAAAAAAAAAAGGAGCAGGGAAGCGAACTGGGAACGGAAAATGTTCAGCATGGAGCTCGGCCCTCAGAGTTTCCATCCTGGCTCTGTGAGCCCAGACTGTGGAGGCCCGGGCTGGGCTGCTGCTCCCTGCCTGGGAATCCCCCCTCCCCCCAAATCCCCCAAACCCAAAAAGCCCCTGTCCATCCCCAGCCCTGCTCAGGACTCAGGTCTTGGGATGAGGGTGAAGATGAGGGAATGAGGCCCCCAGAAGTGGGATGTGGGAGTGCAGATGGGTGAGGGATGACTCCCCCTGCCATGGTCTGAATATGGGGGGATTTGGGGGTACAGATGGGGGGAATGAGCCTCCCCAGGATGGATCCAGGCCTGGAATTTGGGGGTGCAGATGCAGGGGGATGAGCCCCCCAGGAGAGTCCCAGCCCTGAATGGGGGGATGGAGACCTGGGGAGATGACCCCCCAGGAAAGACCCAGACCTGAACACGGGGGAAATGTGGGGGTTCAGATGGGGGAGAGGACCCCCTTGAAGGGTTCTAACCCCGGATATGGGGGTTCAGATGGAGAGAATGAGCCCCCCTGGAGGGTCCCAGCCCTGGGAGGGGGCTCGCCCAAACCCCCAATCCTACAGGACCCATCCCAGGCAGAGGGACCTGCCAAGCAGGATCAGGTTCTCTCCTCAACCCGGGGGTCCCCGTGCCATCCCGGTGGGGACACGACCATCATGTTTCCCCCCCCCTCTCCCCCCGGCCGCTGGTGCCCCCGCCGAGGCGCGGCGTGGCGTTGGCATCCCGGAGGCCAATTTAGCAATTTTCCCTGGAAATAGCCGGGGAGTCGCGGCCCGTGATTACGGGGTTCTGCCCTGACGCCACAATTGAGGGCGCCGAGGGCCGGACGGGCCACCAGGAATAGCCGGGGCGGTGCCGGGCTGCGGCCGCGGGCGGGGGGAGGACACCGAGGCAGCGAGTCGCCCACCACGTCCCCATGGAGCGGGGGAAAAGTGGGGGGTCGAGGTGCTTCTGGTCTGAGAAGGGTGGGGCGTCTGGGAACATCCCCTCCAGGGGTTCTTGGTGCTGGCATGGCG